TAATTTTATTTTATATATAATAAATATTTTACATATCAGGTTTTACTCTAAAATTGGTATAAAATTAAAGCCTTATGTCTAAATAAGTTATGTTCCAAATTTGACAGATGCTGAAAACAGGTCGAGGTTCCTGTGAGATTTTATTTAGGGTGTTATACCACAAAAAGCCACCGGGTGCCATCCAAACTCTGTAGAATTTTTGTATGCATTTTTCTGTCACAAATGTCTAGATTTCTCTGTCAATATTACTTCTATCTCAATATCTCGAAATATGGAATCCTGAGACTCAGACCTTTCCAATTATATGTTTTTTGTCAAGATTATAAAAAGTTTTGATTGTAAAATACCGTAATGCATTTTGTAATATGACACTTGACTCCGCCCACTAAGGGGGAGGAGACCGCCAACAGATTTTAAAGTAGCATTTCCATGGTAACGCAATGTCCCATTTCAAAATAGTTTTCACAGGATGAATCTTGGGCTTCTTATCATCATTATTAACATGAATTTAATCATAATCTCAATATGATATCATTTATGGCCCGACGCTAATTTAGGCTATTTATAGAACGTGCTTGGCAGGCGACTCAGAGACTCCATGTTGGTAATCACTGCGAAAAACCACCTTTTGGAAATACCTCTCACCTCCCACTTGGTCTCCTCCAGGCGAGGCAGTATATCCGCCTGCTCCTTGCGGTAATCCAGACACTTGTGCTCCAGCTCCTCTCTCTGTGCGAGCAGAGTGCTGATCTCGTCCTGGAGCCGGTTACTCCAGGTACAGTATTCTACAACTTCAGCTTGCCATTGCTTTGTGTTGTTATCTAAGGAAAATCTTTCTGTCCATCAAAGCTCTTAAATCTCATTATGAGACTTTTATGGTGTTTCTTTTTGACGGCCTCCAAATTACATTCCTTGTGTTTCCTTTTATGTTTCACTGAGGAAAGAAAATAATATGTGTTTGGAACGACATGAAGCTCAGAGAATGATCACAGATTGTTCATTTTTTAATGAAATATCAGTTTAAACCAGAGGGGCCCAAACGTTTTATTACAGAGGGCCAAAAATCTAACTTCATTGAGGGCCATGGGCCAAAAGTGAATGTTGCATTTTATCATACACTATACAGTATTATAATAAAATGTATTAATTTGTTAAAAATTCAATAAGTAAACAAAAATGTAATTAACTTTATTAATGTTTTTTTAAATAAATACTTTTCTGAATTTTAAATTATTTTTTAAATCAAATTCACTTATTGATTTTTAAATAATAAATAAAAAATGACTTTTTGATATTAATATTTTTTAAATATATTTTTTAGAAATTTTTAAATTATTTCTAATCAAATTCACTTATTGTTTTTAAATACTTTTCTGAATTTTAAATGATTTTTTAAATCAAATTCACTGATTTTTGAATAATAAATACAAAATAACTTTTTGATATTAATATTTTTTACATATATTTTTAGAAATTTTAAAATTATTTCTAATCAAATTCACTTATTATTTTGTAAATACTTTTCTGAATTTTAAGTTATTTTTTAATCATTTACTTATTGATTTTTAAATAATAAATAAAAATTACTTTTTAATATTAATATATTTTTTTTAAATTATAAAATTATTTCTAATCAAATTCACTTATTGTTTTTTAAATACTTTTCTGAATTTTTAATTATTTTAAAATCAAATTCACTTATTGATTTTTAAATAATAAATAAAACATAACTTTTTGATATGAATATTTTTTACATATATTTTTTTTAGAATTATTTTAATTATTTCTAATCAAATTCACTTATTGTTTTTTAAATACTTCTGAATTTGAAATTATTTTTAAATCAAATTCACGTATTGATTTTTAAAAATAAAAAAATAAAAAACTTTTTGATATTAATATTTTTACATATATATTTTTAGAATTTTTAAAATTATTTCTAATCAAATTCACTTATTGTTTTTTATATACTTTTCTGAATTTTAAATAATTTTTAATCAAATTCACTTATTGATTTTTAAATAATAAATTAAAATTTTTTTCATATTAATATTTTTTACACACACACACACACACATATATATATATATATATATTATTATTATTATTTTTTGGAAATTGTAAAATTATTTCTAATCAAATTCAGTAAAAAAATTTGTTGGTTTGGCACCAGTGAAATGGTCTTGAAAACCTAAATGTCTTGTGTAGAAGAAATTAGTGGAGATCAAGGAAGAAATTCATGGTAACACTTTGCAATAAGGTTCCATTTGTTAAAATTACTACATTATTTAACACGACAATGACTAACAATTTAACTAACAATGAACTACTTCTACATTTATTAATCTCAACATTTACTAATGCATTTTTAAGATCTAAAGTTGTATCTGTTAACATTAGTTTGTGCATTGTGGAAACTAACACTAATAAAAAACTAACATTTTTATTAACTAACATTAACAAAGGTTAATACTGTAAAAAATATATTAATAAGACCTTATTGTAAAGTGTTCCCAAAATTGTAATAGTCTAGAATTTTCATGAGCTCAAAACAAAAAGATAATATTCAGAAAGACAAAATCAAGTTGCATTATGCTGAAATGGGGAATTTAAGTTGAATCAGTATGTCTGATTCAAACTGTGCTAAAATATCTAATAATTATGTGAAGGGAATTTATTGCTGTAACTTGTGACCATTTCTTTGAGTATCATATTTGATGCATCAGGCTTTTATGGCTCATATAATCTGATACAGTGAGAATAAGGAGGAAAAAACGGCCCAGTTTTATTCAAAGGCCCAACATGAGCAAAAATATGAATTTGCATCAGATGCTGATATTTCTCTGATGAAATTCTGATGCTTGTGCTGTAAATCAGTGAGATCTGTATAACAGTACAGCAGACACTGACATAAAATGCTATAAATATCAGTGGTCGCTCTATATCTCCAGTAATCTGTCTCAGTGAGATGAGATGTAAATGCTCCAAACATATAATGCAGTGATTGAGAGCTGAAGAAATAAAGGCTCCTCAGAAGATGTGAGATGTTCTGGAGGCTTGTGAAGATCATTCCTCCGCTGAGGAACAGTGAAAGTAAAGCTTCTGGAAACAAACGCTCCTCAAAAGATCCTGAGGATCAGATTTGAGACTCTAAAACATGATTGATGGAGAATCAAGTAAAGCCCAGCTGCTTCAGTCCAGTAAGTGTTCATCTGGAGATATGACTGCAGTTGATTAAAAATCAGTCAAGATTGGACACGTGACGCTCGAGCTGAAGCTGGACGCTTGTACAGCTACACTAAAAGACTTTGACTTGCTAAAATAACTCAGAAGACAGAAGGATATGAATGCACTCCTCACCTCCTGCTCTTTCTCCCAGAGTCGGTCCTCCAGGTCCTGGATGATGTCGTCGGTGGAGGGCGATGGCTGGATGGTGGCGAGTCTCTGATAGGACAAGCAGCTCTTCCCAGAGGAGGACTGTCCGCTGTCAGACACGCTCAGGCCGTTCTGGTAGCTGGGTTTGTCTGGTTTCTCCAGCGGCGCCGCTGTGCTGCTCAGTCTGTTGATGTGGCTGGTGGAGGCACTGAGGGGCCCCAGCGCTTGAGCGGGACCGTAGCTCACGCCGGGCCCCGTGTAGGTGGGCAGGCTGGTCAGAGAGTTCCTCCCGGAGTCGGACATGCCGCCCTGCCCGTCGTTTCCGGCCGAAGGGTCCCGATCCGGACTGTCCTGCTCACAGAGGGACTGCGGGGCGTCGGAGCCAGCAGATCGACCCCCGCTGGACTGACCCACCAGGTTCTGCATGGAGTGAAAACTCTTGGGCACGACGGGTTTGAAGGCGGACGGACGGACCAGAGTAGAATTATTCTGAACGAGGAAAACACAGCAGGTTCTTACAATAATACATCATTAAACAGCCGTCATTAAGTATCTATCTATCTATCTATCTATCTATCTGTCTGTCTGTCTATCTCTCTGTCTGTCTGTCTATCTATCTCTCTGTCTATCTATCTATCTATCTATCTCTCTGTCTGTCTGTCTATCTATCTCTCTGTCTATCTATCTATCTATCTATCTCTCTGTCTGTCTGTCTATCTATCTCTCTGTCTATCTATCTATCTATCTATCTCTCTGTCTGTCTGTCTATCTATCTCTCTGTCTATCTATCTATCTATCTATCTCTCTGTCTGTCTGTCTATCTATCTCTCTGTCTATCTATCTATCTATCTATCTCTCTGTCTGTCTGTCTATCTATCTCTCTGTCTATCTATCTATCTATCTATCTCTCTGTCTGTCTGTCTATCTATCTCTCTGTCTATCTATCTATCTATCTATCTCTCTGTCTGTCTGTCTATCTATCTCTCTGTCTATCTATCTATCTATCTATCTCTCTGTCTGTCTGTCTATCTATCTCTCTGTCTATCTATCTATCTATCTATCTCTCTGTCTGTCTGTCTATCTATCTCTCTGTCTATCTATCTATCTATCTATCTCTCTGTCTGTCTGTCTATCTATCTCTCTGTCTATCTATCTATCTATCTATCTCTCTGTCTGTCTGTCTATCTATCTCTCTGTCTATCTATCTATCTATCTATCTCTCTGTCTGTCTGTCTATCTATCTCTCTGTCTATCTATCTATCTATCTATCTCTCTGTCTGTCTGTCTATCTATCTCTCTGTCTATCTATCTATCTATCTATCTCTCTGTCTGTCTGTCTATCTATCTCTCTGTCTATCTATCTATCTATCTATCTCTCTGTCTGTCTGTCTATCTATCTCTCTGTCTATCTATCTATCTATCTATCTCTCTGTCTGTCTGTCTATCTATCTCTCTGTCTATCTATCTATCTATCTATCTCTCTGTCTGTCTGTCTATCTATCTCTCTGTCTATCTATCTATCTATCTATCTCTCTGTCTGTCTGTCTATCTATCTCTCTGTCTATCTATCTATCTATCTATCTCTCTGTCTGTCTGTCTATCTATCTCTCTGTCTATCTATCTATCTATCTATCTCTCTGTCTGTCTGTCTATCTATCTCTCTGTCTATCTATCTATCTATCTATCTCTCTGTCTGTCTGTCTATCTATCTCTCTGTCTATCTATCTATCTATCTATCTCTCTGTCTGTCTGTCTATCTATCTCTCTGTCTATCTATCTATCTATCTATCTCTCTGTCTGTCTGTCTATCTATCTCTCTGTCTATCTATCTATCTATCTATCTCTCTGTCTGTCTGTCTATCTATCTCTCTGTCTATCTATCTATCTATCTATCTCTCTGTCTGTCTGTCTATCTATCTCTCTGTCTATCTATCTATCTATCTATCTCTCTGTCTGTCTGTCTATCTATCTCTCTGTCTATCTATCTATCTATCTATCTCTCTGTCTGTCTGTCTATCTATCTCTCTGTCTATCTATCTATCTATCTATCTCTCTGTCTGTCTGTCTATCTATCTCTCTGTCTATCTATCTATCTATCTATCTCTCTGTCTGTCTGTCTATCTATCTCTCTGTCTATCTATCTATCTATCTATCTCTCTGTCTGTCTGTCTATCTATCTCTCTGTCTATCTATCTATCTATCTATCTCTCTGTCTGTCTGTCTATCTATCTCTCTGTCTATCTATCTATCTATCTATCTCTCTGTCTGTCTGTCTATCTATCTCTCTGTCTATCTATCTATCTATCTATCTCTCTGTCTGTCTGTCTATCTATCTCTCTGTCTATCTATCTATCTATCTATCTCTCTGTCTGTCTGTCTATCTATCTCTCTGTCTATCTATCTATCTATCTATCTCTCTGTCTGTCTGTCTATCTATCTCTCTGTCTATCTATCTATCTATCTATCTCTCTGTCTGTCTGTCTATCTATCTCTCTGTCTATCTATCTATCTATCTATCTCTCTGTCTGTCTGTCTATCTATCTCTCTGTCTATCTATCTATCTATCTATCTCTCTGTCTGTCTGTCTATCTATCTCTCTGTCTATCTATCTATCTATCTATCTCTCTGTCTGTCTGTCTATCTATCTCTCTGTCTATCTATCTATCTATCTATCTCTCTGTCTGTCTGTCTATCTATCTCTCTGTCTATCTATCTATCTATCTATCTCTCTGTCTGTCTGTCTATCTATCTCTCTGTCTATCTATCTATCTATCTATCTCTCTGTCTGTCTGTCTATCTATCTCTCTGTCTATCTATCTATCTATCTATCTCTCTGTCTGTCTGTCTATCTATCTCTCTGTCTATCTATCTATCTATCTATCTCTCTGTCTGTCTGTCTATCTATCTCTCTGTCTATCTATCTATCTATCTATCTCTCTGTCTGTCTGTCTATCTATCTCTCTGTCTATCTATCTATCTATCTATCTCTCTGTCTGTCTGTCTATCTATCTCTCTGTCTATCTATCTATCTATCTATCTCTCTGTCTGTCTGTCTATCTATCTCTCTGTCTATCTATCTATCTATCTATCTCTCTGTCTGTCTGTCTATCTATCTCTCTGTCTATCTATCTATCTATCTATCTCTCTGTCTGTCTGTCTATCTATCTCTCTGTCTATCTATCTATCTATCTATCTCTCTGTCTGTCTGTCTATCTATCTCTCTGTCTATCTATCTATCTATCTATCTCTCTGTCTGTCTGTCTATCTATCTCTCTGTCTATCTATCTATCTATCTATCTCTCTGTCTGTCTGTCTATCTATCTCTCTGTCTATCTATCTATCTATCTATCTCTCTGTCTGTCTGTCTGTCTGTCTATCTATCTCTCTGTCTATCTGTCTATCTATATCTATCGATAAATAGATTGATAGATAGATAGATGTAATACCTTCTAAAGCTTGCAGTAAAATTAAGAAGAAAAAAAATTAACACTTTATCAAGGATGCATTATGTGACAGTAAAGACATTTATAATGTGACAAAAGATTTCTATTTCAAATAAATGCTGTTCTTTTGAACTTTCTATTCATCTGTGAATCCTGAAAAATAAAACACTAGTGTACAAATATGCAAGTAGTTTGATAATCTAAGAAAAACAATTAGATTATGCTGTTCAAAATGCTTCATGGGAGTGGATGGTCATCTCTATCTCTTTTGTCTTTTATTGAAGCATAAATCATCTCTGAGCTCAAGGTAAATCTTTATTTGTGTCCCTGGAGCACAAAAGCAGTCTTAAGTCGCTGGGGTATATTTGTAGCAATAGCCAACAATACATTGTATTGGTCAAAATTATAGATTTTTCTTTTATGCCAAAAATCATTAGGATATTAAGTAAAGATCATGTTCCATGAAGATATTTTGTAAATTTCCTACCGTAAATATATCAAAACTTAATTTTTGATCAGTAATATGCATTGCTAAGAACTTCATTTCGACAGATTTAATGTGATTTTCTCAATATTTAGATTTTTTAGCACCCTCAGATTCCAGATTTTCAAATAATTGTATCT